TTAAAAAATTTTATTACCCATCCATTTTTAATAAGATATGTTTATTATTTTTCCAACAACATCAAATTGGAATTTTATAAAAGAAAATACATCCATAATCTTGCCACCTAAACAAATAAATTATTTTTCTAAGCATTTGGGTCCTTTTCTATGTTTTAACGTTTTTATTGTTGAAAAGATGATGTAATATAAAAAATTTTTGAATGAGAGAAAAAAATCCTGAAAACCTTTCTGTTTTACATATTACTTTTCCATCATTGTCTCTTACACTTTTTTAAATTGTTGCAGTTACACCATTTTGTAAATATGAAAATATAAACTGAGGCATATCAAAAACTTTAAGTCTATTTGAGCAAAAATCAATTCGAATAGGGCAGCACCAAACGGGAAGTAGTTAGACAAGCTCCACTGACAGGAGCTGGGGAAAGACTTTTATAGAGAAGAGGCGGAAGCAAAGCAAAGAAATTATTTGATTGGCTATAGCTTAAGGTTGCGTTATTTGGAAAACCTAGTTGGCTGTTTGTGATTAGGTGTCCTTAGATTTGCATTTCCTAACCTTGAGATGTTTACAGGCTTAGGTTTTGGTTTGCTTAGGTAGGCAGCCAGGATATTAGAACAACCTCAATCTAATGGCCTCCTTATTTAACAGTAATTAAAAATTAATGGTTAGGCAAACATTTTCCATCTATCTACAGATTTTATAAATACCACTTAAAATAGCTACAAAGCGTTTCATCCTGTTAATCTACCATTATTTACTTAGTATCACCCTATTGTGTTCCTATCCAGTGAAAATGGCTAGTAATTATTTCAAATAAGGAAGAATGACGGTGGGAAAAATAGACAACTAGAGAAAAAAGGAAAAACAGACACAGAAGTAGAAAGTAACCTACAGAAACAGATATAGAACAGAAAGCAGAGATTTTTTTCATGGACTCACATTCCCATCTTTAGCATTCTAGGATAGTAAAGCTTAATATATTCAATTTAAGTCAAGGAACACAACTGGCTTTTATGTGGAAGTTTTCTCTCCCCTTGTAACATCAAGATACTTTATATCCTTGTACACTAAAAGCTTAAAATGGAATAAACCAAACTTGTGGGAAAGCTTAGTTAAGATATGGATCTAGTTTGATGGACATACATTTGACAAACAGGTTCAGTTAGATCGTTAAAATCAGCTCAATTTCATGTGGTTGTTAGCAACGACTTAAGTGTTTCAATCAAGCCACAACTGTGTAGCCTAGGAAATAAATCAACCTCATGTGAAAGTTTTTCTGAAGATTTATAAGGAAAGGTGAAAGACCTCTGGTTAAAGAAAGCCTTGCTATTCAAAGTGTAGTAGGTAGAGCAGCAACATTGACATCACCTAGGAGCCTGTTAGAAATGCAGATTCTTGGGTCTCACCCCAGACCCACAGACTCTTAATCTGAGTTTTTTTTTTTTTTTTTTTTGAGGAAGATTAGCCCTGAGCTAACATCTGCTGCCAATCCTCCTCTTTTTGCTGAGGAAGATTGGCCCTGAGCTAACCTCTGTGCCCATCTTCCTCTATTTTATATGTGGGATGCCTCCACAGTATGGCTTGGCAAGTGGTGGGTAGGTCCACGCCTAGGATCTGAACCAGCGAATCTGGGCTGCTAAAGTGGAGTGCATGAACTTAACCCCTGTGCCACTGGGCCGGCCCCCTAATCTGAGTTTTAACAAGATCTTCAGGTGATTTACTTGCACGTTAAAGTCTGAGAAGCACTGAAAGATATAACTCTTAATACTGGATTCTCTACCCTGACTGCGTATTAGTATCACTTGGGGAGCTTTTAAAAACTATGATGCCTGGGTCCATCCCAGATGATTAAACAAGAATGGGCGGTGGAGAGGGAGAGTATGGACATGAGTATTTTTAAAAAGCTCCCTAGGTTATTGTTAAGGTTGAGAACTGTTGGGAGGAAATCTTTTCCTCTACCATCTTAGGTTCCAGTGGTTGGGGGTCTACAGATTAGCTAATTGACAATAGACAGTTTAACAGGAGAAAGGGGAGTTGCTCAATAATGAGTACCTCTCTGAAAAGCCAGAGATAAAGCTAGATACACCAGCTTCACAAAAGAGAGAGGGGTAGGGCTTCGTACTTCAAAGAACAGAAAGTTCTATTGGGCTTTTTGAAGCTAAGTGGCAGCTGAATTCACACTTCCTGGTGTTAAAGGTCAGTCTTTTCCCAGTCAGAAAACTCCTTCCTTCTCTGTGTCCTTCCCTCCTTATTACTCCCCAGTCTGTAGCTGAATACCATGTATTCCACCTCCACAGTACAGTACTTTTAACCTCCGTGCCTCATCTCCCTGACTGTACTAGTTAATGCAGTTCTCCCCTCTACATCCTCTCGACCACATTACCTTATGTTATTTATGCCACATATCAGTACCTACAATTCTCCCTCCAGGATAGCTTGGAGTCCATCTGCTTATCACTCTTTCCCCAGCTCCTAGAACATTATCTCACAACTAGTGGGCACTCAAGTATTTATTGACCCTCCCCCTCCACTTCTGTCACTTAAGTTCATGTCTCTTAGCTGATATTCTCCCCATTCCCCACACACACACCCTACAGATTCCTCCTGGAAAACCCTTAAGGCTCAGCTTGAATGCCAATTCCATGAAATCTTTCCTGTCTCATATAAGAGTAATAACTCCATCCTCAGAACTTTCATACCATAGAGAGATATGACTCCTCTTAATTCTCTTAAGACACTTACATATGCCATTTAATATATTCACTCAATACAAATTTATTGAACACCTCTCATGTACCAGGCACTGTGTTAGATGATAGTCAGGCACCATTCCTGCTCTCAAACAAGCTGCTCTCAAGGAGAGAGAGTCCTTTAAATAGGCACTTATAATTCAGAGGATTAAGTGAACCATGGCAAGGGTAATCAACATCCTTGATCTGTCTTGGTTTGTGACCACTGACGGTGTGACCTAGAGCGAATTACTTAGCCTTTCTAAGCTTTGGTTACCATGTCTTAAGTGGAAATAATAATAGTGTGTACCTCACTGCCTTATGATGAGAATTAAATAACACTTGTAAAGGGTTAAGTAAGTCTCTAGTATATAGTAATCATTCAATAACATCAGTGAGTACTATTAGGTCTAACTCAACTTTGGAGGATCTGGAAGGGCTTCCTGGAAGAAAGGACTTCAAAACTGAAACCTGAAGGATGAGAAGAAATTGAAGGAAAGAAGGGAGGGAGGAGGAAGAAAGGTCCCAAATAGAAAGGATAGTCAGGTGCAAAGGGCTTGAGGCTTGTTTTCAGTTTGGAAGCTGAACAAAGGACAAAGTGTTCTGGTGTCCTTTGCAGACTCAGCCTCGCTGGCACTAAAACAGATTTCACACCTAAGTTTCCTCTGGGCCTTGATGGAAGCCATTTGTCTGCTTTCACATCCCTATCACTGATCAAGGCCCCTAATAAAAACCCTTGTGTGTGTGTGGCAGGGGAGGTGAGAAGTGTGTGAAAGGCTCAGGTGGCTGCCTTCACACAGGGCTGCGGGTTGGGCAGGCAATGAAACCAGTTACTCTTTGGCCCCTCCCATATTCCCCTTGCTCCAGCCTTTCTACTGAATCCAGGAATCCCCACTGCATGGTTAACAACGCTCTGTTTTACTCTCTATAGAACTCATCCTCTGCTTCCTTACCTTAACTCTATTCTAGGGTTGTGATGTTAATTCTCCTGGTCCCAGGATTGAAGAGCAAAGCAAGAAAGAAGGGACCAAATTTTTCCAACTCCCTAATGCAGATTTAGAACCATTAACTCTCTGCCTTTGTGGAAAAAAATTCTTCCTCAAGAGTTTATGCCCTTCAAAGCTGCCTCTTGAGATCTGGCCCCAGCAACCAATCTGACCCAATTCACTACACCTTTGCTCTGCATATTTGGGCTACACGAGCATTCTTGCTCTTCTTCTGACCCACAAGCATGTTGCAAGCTTAGGGCTTTTCATCTTGCTGTTCCTGTAAGCCTGGAAGGCTCTTCTAGAACTTGTTATAGCCAGTTCCTTCTCATCATTCAGGTATCTGGCTCAAACGTCAGTTCGGAGAGGCCTCGTTTGACACCCTTCTCTAAAACAGCACCACCTGTCCCATTACTCAGCTTTATTTTCTCCATAGCATTTACTACTATGTGAAATTATCTACTTGACTGTTTTCCGTCCTAGAACGTAAGCACTGGGAATGATGAGATATCATGTCTTCATCTCTCAACAGCACAGAGAACAATGCTTGGCAAACAATTGGTGCTAAGTAAATATTGGCAATAAATGAATGAATGAATACATTTTTTAAATGAAAGAGAGGCTCTAACCTTTAAAGTCTAAACGTGTGGTCAGTGAGTACAACCCTTCAGTATGTAAAAGTAGAAGTCCAGAGAGAAATCTTTGGGGGCTTCCATTTACTATATCAGAGCCATAGACCAAGGACCATGAGTAAGGACTTCAGAAGAATCTGGAAGGTTTGTTTATTATTTACCAAGCTCCTGCTATGTGCCAAGTGCTGTACTCAGAAAGGGGTAAACGATGAGCAGAAAGAGTCATGGTTTCTGCCTTTGAGAATTTGCAGTTTAGTTTTTTCTGAGTTCCCTTGGATTTGTAGTAAACAGTGATGTGCTGGAGCCTGCTTTTAGCTGCCTGTAAGACCCTATTGTTAAATTTTCAGGAATTTTGCAAGCCAGTTCTTAAATACTACCATGATTAAAAACCAAATTGTATAAACTTACAAGTAAATTAAACACAAAGATAATATACAGTCAAAACTTATCATTGCCTAATTATTTGACTGTATCTTATTATTACTGTATTTATACTCTTGAGGTTATGTTAACTGTATCTGGATGGTGGAAATATTATAATGAGCACCTTTTCCCAATTCCATGTTCAGTGACATCACAATGGTAGGTTGAAATCAACTGTGGGGGAGTATTTACACCACGGAAATTGGCCAACACCATAATCAGGTCTTACCTACTCACCCCCAACACACACAGACAACAACCTCTCAAGGGATGGAACATGTGTTGACAGCCACTGAATTAGAGGCAGAATCTCTAGGTCCTCCTATAAAGGAAGAAAAAAAGCAGAACAAGCTGGTTTGAACCTGAGGAAGGGTCCTAGAACTATGCTATAACAGAGTACAAGTTTTAAAGTAAATTTCTAAAACTTCACTCATTCTTTTATGATTTTTCTAACTTTAGAATATTATCTTTAATAACTTTATTTTAAAAATAAATGCCTATTTTGAAAATAAAAGTGGACCACATTTGAACTTTGGGGTTTTTTAAATGAATTATAAAATATTTCAGACATATAGTTATAAAATAATTTGAATTTTAAATGATAATAGTAACAATCCCCTATTCACTCCCCTGCTGCACAATAATGTGGAACTAGTAATTTACCTCTGACTAAACTATAGGTAGCGGAAAATCACTGAAAGTGACATGCAGGATTAATGCAGAAAGGTCCCCACAGTGGGTGCTCAAGAAACAAAAGGTTTTTGCAGTGGTCCAGGAGCGCCTGAGAGGATCTGTGTCAGTATCAAGTTCAGAAAACAAAGGGAAAAAAATGGATATAGTGATGGACAAGAAGAAAGTACCAAGATTCTGTACTTTCAAGGATCTGAACAAGTGTGACAGTATCAGTGACTGTGAATCCCTGACCATACCCCTACTGCTCCCATAGCCCCCCACTCTGGAGAACTTGTTAAAACTTAGGTTGCTGGTACCCCACCCCGAGAGTTACTGAGTCAGTAAATTTTGGGGTATGGCCTAATAATTTGCATTTCTGACAAGTATGCAAATGTTGACGCTGCTGGTCTGGGACCACTCTTTCCGGATTAATGCCTTACGTTAATACTCTGCTTATTTTGCTAAGGCTTCAGAGACATCTCTTTGTTAAACCAGCAGGGGGAGACAGGTATAAAATTTATCTTCTAAAAATAAACTGCCTTATCATACGAAAGAAAGCTCTATGGGAGTTATGATGTTGCAATGGAGACTTCTGAAATATTTTGGAGAGCAGGATGTAAACGGGCATCAGGTGAAATAATTTTCGGGTGTTTATATAAAAATTTATTTTGGTAGGACTAACGTCCGGACTCCTGCAAGCCATAGTGTCATGGTTAAGAACTTGGAATCTGGAGTCACACAGCTCTGCCACTTACAAGCTATGTGATGTGCGGAAAATTACTTACCTTCTCTGATCCCGTTTCCTCGTCTTTAAAATTGTCCGTACTTTATGGAATTGTTAAGCGGGCTAAAAGTTCTTAGAACTTTAGTTGGTCGTTATTAGTAGTATTAATAAACTCTTAGTAACTTTCAGCTCTTTAGTCTCCCTAAAATTTACAAATAGTCCAGATATGTTGCTACATTTGGTTTTTAATAACCAGTGCTCCCGTTATTTAGGTAAAGAATTGAAACTGTCTAGAATGTAATTGCTTTGTAATTCCTAACTTCCCCATCCAAAATACCTAAGATAGGTGGGGTTTTATTCTAATCTATATTTGATCTCCCAGGCTTCGACGTCCAAAGGTGGGGTAAGCGTGTTTTCTGGACCTTGAGCTTTGAGATGGAACAGAGATGGATGCCGGCTTGGTCTTGGCAAGGCACTCAGGTGAGGTGGGGCCAGACCAGGTGCAGCCCAGCTAGACCTTCCGTAGAGCTCGCATCTGCTGGGCGTGCATTCATGTAAAGAGAGTCGCGATCAGCGAGCCTGTGTGTCGGTTCGCGTGTTCCGCCAAGCTCGCGAACTTCGCCGGGGTCGAAGCTTCCCGCGAAAGGAGAGACCTGTCCGTGACCGCGCTCTTATTGGCCGGGCCGGGACATCTGCCTTATGGCGTCAGCTGCAGGGGCTCGTCTCGGGCGGGAGAGCCCGGGCCAGGGCGGGGTGACGTCAGCGAAGGCGTGCCCTGGCCTCCAGGAGCAGTGGGCGGGGCCTGCGGAAAGGTGTGCAGGGGGCTGGATGGGGGCGCTGGCGGCACGGCCTGGGCGGGGCCGGGGCGGTGACGTCACGGGGCGGCGCAGCCCGGCTGGCGCGCGGGTAGGTAAAAGCGGCAGGCGGCGGCGCTCACTTAAGGCGGCGAGCCGCACAGAGCAGCCTCTAGGTCGGCGACGTGCAGCGCTGCTCATCATGTCCCTGGGGAGCAGCCTCTCGCGTCTCCTCCGGACGCAAGTGCATTCCGTCCTGAAGAAGGCCGTCCACTCCGTGGCTGTGATCGGAGCCCCGTTCTCAGGGGGACAGGTGAGAACTGAGACCTGGTGCTGTGGGGCAGAATCCCAGCCCCTTAGAACCTGGAGAAAGCGGGGGGGTGGGGTGGTAGGGAGGGTGAGAAAAAGAGAGGGGACGAACTGGTAGGTTCCCGCCATTGGGCACCGGGAGAGCACATGGGATTTTCTCCAATAGAAGATGGGGAAGGAGGGAGGGGATTGAGGGCACCCTGTTTGCGATGCGGGCTGGCTCAACGGGCTAGCAGGTTTCCGCGGACTCCCCCGGAGGAGCGAGAAAGTGGTGGGTCCCAGTCGGGGTGATGGAGGAGAGGGAGGGATGGAGAGGATTCCATGGAGCGACTCGAGGAGGAGAAACCGGCCAGAATCCCCCAAGGAAAACTGAGTGAGAAGAGGTTGAAGAGAACGACGGAGGATTTAAGGCTTCAGGGTGCGTTCTTGGAGCATTAACTGGGAAGGAAATTGGCGCTGGCCTTTCTAGCGGTGGGAGGACGGGAGGGGCTGTTTTGTTCTCACTTCACTGAAAGAAACCTGCAGTGGAGGAGAGCTCGCTGATCGACAAGCCCTTGCTCGGCCCGCTACACCCCCACCCCCCCAATCATCAGACCCTCACCTGGCTCAGCCCCTTCCCGGGTCTTGGCCTCCGCTTGCCCTTCCTACAAGGAGGGGTTTGGAAGATTGATTGAATTCCAGCGATGGTTGTTTGCCCCTCCTTCCCCGCAAGTGTTTGAAATGAGCAGACCTCAGGTGAAAAAAGGAAGGCCTGATGCTGTCAGAGGTTTTCAGAGGGATCTATTGGGAACTGAGTATAGCAGATTTCTGTATTTTTGTGAACAATAGTGGTCTTATTTTCAATCATCTTCCCTCACATCGCACTGCAATTGATGTGACAGAAGAGAAAAGGAGTGGAACATGGTCCCGCTGCTGTAAGAGAAGCTGGCTTGATGAAAAGGCTCTCCAATTTGGGTAAGTGGCTGGTTTTTAGATGTCTGAGCAGGGCTCTTAACAGACCAGTTGAGAGTCTTGTCTCTGACCGCCAGCATCAGCTGTGTACTTGGGAAGTATCTCCCATCCTCCCTTGGATTCCATCTGCAGCTGAAGATCTATTGAGGAGTCTTCAGGCAAAGTCTTGTTGCAGTAAAGAGACTAAGGGTGTTGGGCCAGCCCCGGTGGCCTAGTGGTTAAGTTCAGTGCGCTCTGCTTCAGTGGCCCACTCATGTGTCAGTGGTCATGCTGTGGCAGCAGCTCACATACAAAAAGAGGAAGCTTGGCAATGGATGTTAGCTCAGGGTGAATCTTCCTCAGCAAAAAAAATAAAAGAGTAAGGGTGTGGAAGGCAAGGAGGTAGAGTGAGGCATAGCCTGGAACAAGCTGTGACTACAAAGTGGTGCTAAGAATGCTAATTCCTGCTAGTGCTAATTGCACTTTCCCCCTAAAATTCTGGCTTTCCTATCTTAATCATGAGCTGCTTATGATTCATCAGTCTAGCCAGTTTCCTCTCTTTAAATCATTCACTTCCTCCCTACGGTTAATAGCATTATATTACTCTAAGTAGAGCCTTAGATCAGTATTTTTCAAACTCCCCTGATTATGAAAATCACTTGGGTTACTTGTTAAAAATCCAGATTCCCAGGCTCCTCCATGGAAGAGTCTGGTTTGTTGGTGCTGAGGTGGGACCCAGACACGCGCATTTTCACAAGCACCACAGATAATCAGAAGTCAAGTTGCAGTCTGATAATTAGGTTAGTACTTTTACCTTACAGTCAGAAGTAAATCTGACCCAGAGATAAATGCCATTTATGTAGTAATGGAGAGCCCTTCTTTTAGTAACAGGGCACCAAATTCCAGTACCTTTATGGTAGCAAGGTTCTTCCTTATATCTAACCTAAATGTTTCTAGCTGCTGTTGAAGGCCATTTCCTCCGTAATAGGACTATTCACATATCCTTCTGGATATGTTAAGTGCAAAAGGCATGGCTGCAGGGAGCTGTAGATTCTGGAGATAGTAACCAAGAATCTAGGTGAACTACAAACCTCCCCATTCTTGCTTTGAAACCTCCTCTGCTGATCATTGAGCGGTTCCAGAGGTGTGCCCTCTCCTTCCAAAGCACAGAGGAATGACGAAGTCACCGAAATCACCTTGAATTGAGGTGTCTTTCATGCGCCTCTGGCTACAATATGGATATGGTGTCTTGGGTTGAATACTCAAAACTCTTCCCTGTTAAATAATTGCAGTTCCTTCTTGAATAGAGTCTCTTTCCTAATCATTTTAATAATTCTCCAAGTTCACCACCAAAGATGAAAGATAAGATTTAATCTTAATGTGTCACAAGTTACCTAATGGGAGGAGGTTTTTATTCCCGCTTATAAAGGAGGATATTGTTCCTTTAAATCAGCTGTACGCATTCTGCCTTTTTAAAAGCATCATTTTACAGTCAAGACAACAATCTTGGATAATCATTATTTTTTCATCCTGGATAAACCTCTTTGGCCCGTCTGGAGAATTGGGCCTGGCGTCGCTCAAATTGCCTGCTCATTGCTCAATTCTGTTTTAACAGACTCCCGACAAGAGCAAGATTTAGCCTCTCACACAGAAGACATTTATCACATCCAGCTGAGGCTGCTGAATGCGGGGGAGGGCAGCTTCTTTACTCCTGCTTTGTAGACCTCCTTTCCTGTCACAGCTCCTGGTATTTTTCCACTCCAACCTGCAGAAGCTGTTCTCCCTTTGATACTAGTCCTTCTAATACTTGCTCCGTAAACTCTCCATCTAACGTGATGGTGAAGCTTTAGTTGACTTGGTCTTCCCTTTCATTTTTTTCAAATACTTTTTGTTTTATAATTTACATCCCCACCCTGTAACCGATTGGTAGCCCAATATCGCCAGCAGTCTGAAATAGAATCTCATTGCATATTAATAAGAATGTGGCACGCAGCAGATTTCCATCATGTGGTTTTGGCTCGTCTCCAGGAATATGCTGGAGATGAGTACCAAGAGAGGTTTCAATTGCTCTGTTCTGAAAGGTACCAAGATAAGTTCTTTGAGCCCTTTTGAATAAGCAGCATGGGTCAAATTGCAAGGAAGAGAAGACCCATGGAAAGGTAACTTGCACAAATCCCTTTGTCCTTGCCTTCTGCTCTGATGTCACAGGCTGTCGATGTTGCCATGGCATCAGTTAAACTTCCTGTTTTCTTGAATCTATTTGACTTAGTGTCTGGGCTTGTTTTTCCCTTTCCTTGGGTTTAGTAAGGACATTCATGGTTCCTCTCTCAGGTAACTAGTTAATTTTAGTATGTAAAGAGAGCCTGTGAGAAATGAAGAGACAATTGCTGTGGCAAGGCTTAGACGCCATGACTGTGCTCCTGATTCTAGTTAGCTCTGATCGTCCTGGTAATTTGCCCTTTTTTCTTCAGAAGTAGGTTGAATGTTCTGTAGGGAAAGATAGCTGTAAACTGAGAGTAACAGTTTGAGGTCCTTATCATTGTAATTATGGTAATTTGACCCAGCTCTGATACTGAAAAGGGGTGACAGCCACTGGAACAACAGTCTAAATTTAACATGCCCGTGTGACCAGGCCCGTATGACCTGGAGTTCAGGAAGCCAATTGGGAGTTATTCTGGTTCCTCTCAACTAGGCTAGGGACGTTTACTCTTCCTGTTCCATTTAGTGCTCCATCGGAGCAGAACTGGAATCTCTTTGGTTGAGACTGAAGAATCTGGTCTGCTTCAGCAAAAGAACTGCTAGAGGGCCTGAGATAGTTTAAGCATGAGGATCTGAGATGTGAGAGCTGTTCATTTGGAACAGATCAATATGTGAGTTCACAGATTTGTATTTGCTTTCAGTGGTTGGTAGAGAATGTTAGCAATCACGAGTTTAGTTGTATGATAGTGATGCTTCAGCCTGGCTTCCATCCTACCTTGGGCAACCTACTCATTTGTCAACCTTTATTTTGCCAGACTTCTCTATTGCACAACTGACCACTTCCTTCCTGAAATATTCTGTAGCCAAGATTCCGCTCTCTGCTATGTCTCCTCTCTCCGTTCACTGGTCCTTCCTGGACTCCTTTGTGGGATCCTCCTCTTCTTCCCAACCCTCAAATGTTGATGTCCCCAGGGTTCCATCCCTGGCATTTTCTCACTGTGGATGCCCCAGGTGACCAATCTCATCCACTCCTACCCTACTCTTATAGGCTCCAACTCGGACCTTCATCTAGAATGCCATGCCTGTTCCTCCAACTTGGTTCTAAGTAGCCTCATCTCATTCTCACAGGTGTCTCAAACTCAATGTTCAAAACAAAATTCATCATCTTCTCCCTCAAATCTGCTTCTCCTGCTGGGTTCCCAGTGTCTGTTTTACACTATCACTCATTATCTGGTTACTCCAAGAGCACCACAGTTCTTTCTTCCCTCCCTTTTGTCCCGTACATCTGTTGATCACAAAGTCTTGTTGATTTTCTCCCCTAAATGATTAGAGTCCTTCTCCACAATGGTACTGCTCTCGTTCTGTCCTTCTCACACGTGGCTATAGCTTTCCAGTCGTATTTCTTGTCCCATTTCTGCCTTCCTCAGT